ATTGAGAAGGTATTGAAGAAAAGAAAAAAGTGGTTAGGCCTTCCTAGCGAACAAAATTCTTGGATTGATGAATCAAATATGGTTCGAATGTATCTACTATTGTATTTATGAATTAACTAATGCTGAAGTTCATTAGTGTTTTCATTTCAATTATAAGTCAAATAGTCAAATTCAATATGATTGAATAATAATAGTAATTATAGTGAATTTCTTTTTGTTTTGATAATATTCATATATTAGATGATAATTATATGGAAATATAAACATTACTAACTTACTTGAATACACTCACTTTGTAACTACAAGTAAAATGGGAATGTGAGTATAATATCATATTCGCAACGTTCTGTGTATACCAAACCAAATCATTTATATACTCCATTCCCGCCTATATTTTTCAACTCACGATATTGAAAACACATTATCATTTCCAAAACTAATCGCCGTCACTTTGAAATGCACTGTCCAACTCTTTTCGCCAATTATCTCTCACTGATAATGCCGTCTCATAAAGTTGAGTCGACGACGTTGATTGAATTGATTATCTTTAACAATTTTTGAAAGGGGTTAATCTGCATCCGTACACATTTTAGCCAATTCAACCTTCGCTAATGCAATTTTAGTAACTAATGCTTGAAGAGTTTCCTTATTAGCATTAATAGCCCGCTCACTCTTTTCAAGTTCAGCAATAGCCATCTGCGCCGTTACAAGGCGGCATTTTGCTTTCTTTTTCATTTCTCCAAACCGATGTAGAGGACCGAGAGAAGATAGCGATTCAGCTTTGAAATCACCCTTTATTTCTTTAGGTGAACCTTTTGGCTTCCTCTTCGATCTGTCGTTTTTTGTTGTGGGTTTTTTCTCTCGCACAACACTTTTCGATTGTTTCTTTTTTCTGAAGTCAGTGACAATCGATGAATATGCATTAGTAACCTTCCTCTTGATTGTTCTAGATTTCTTATCAACACCAAGAGGAAGGGTAGATGAAGGGTGTTTGAGTGGTGATGATTGCGAAACGATTGGATTTTCAATAACAATTTGCTCATTTCGTTCCGGCACATTAGCAAAGTTGACGAAGTCGTTAATATCAAAATCATTCATCGAATATTGACTCGATAAATGTAATACTGGAATATTTTCAAAATCAGTGTGATCGATATCAACAAGTGGTGAACCATCTTCAGCAATCAACAACGGCATAGACTTATGATGTACTGTTTGGAACAGTTTTATCTTCCTATTGAAGATGATCACCTGATGATCGAAACACGTGTCGAGGTGTAAAAATAACGATTTGGTGTTGGGAAAAACTTCAGTGATATTCAACGGCATAGAGCTCATGATAATGATTATTTAGGTCTGAGGAATGATATGTGATAGCAATAGAATATGAATAGGAAAGGTGATGATGTTACTGATACTTCACCTTTTATAGAAGAAAATGAACGAGCGCATGCGCTCTTTCACAAAACTGTTCACGCATGTGAGGATCTTCGTCATTTAAGAGGAACACTCTGTGTTGCATGCATTTTTAAAATGAGAGAAAATAATACAAATGAATTCAAAATAATATATTTATTAATAACAGAGGACAATAACGGTAATAAAAATCAAAAGTGTTAATGTGTCGCTGTTGATGTGGAATGTTCTTTCACTCTCCTCCTCAATATTTCTTGTTCGTGTGTCCGACACCAACATTGAAATGAATGAATTCTCCTATTTGGGTAGAGTTGACCAACCTTTTTACATAAATCCCAAGTACTTCTACATGTAGTGCATACATGATTCCAGCAATTCATAGAATATGTATCACAACGCAAACAACGTTGCAGCGGAGCTGGAACGGCAGCACAGGTATCACAAATATTTTATTCAGATAGAGGAAGTGATAGTTGAAGAAGGTGTTGGAGTCGATGAAGAGGAGATTGACCTTTCAGTCAACGAAGTTGAAAATGAGGCTAATGAAAACGAGGCCAATGAGAGCGATGAAGATGATGACATGGTCGATGAGTTGGTCGTGGATGCTGAAGGCGATGATGAAGGGATTATAGCTGATTCATCTGAAGGTGATGGTGCTTTGAGAATCGGTTTCCGAATGCTCATCATCACCGACACACTAGAAGATCCCATGGATTTATATTGTGATGGACGCGCATGTGCAGATGTGCAACATCAAAAAGTTATGTTGGTGTTGTTTTCGATTTTACTCGATACGGAACAATAACGGCGGCTGGTATCAACATGTTAACATCCATGATACAGTCTCTATGATTTCACGAGAGTGTCAGAATGCATAATATGCAATAATGTCAAACCTGTGACAGAATAACCGTGGACCTATTGCTCAAAAAAGCAACAGCCCTTTTCAGGGCTATATTATTCAAACAAACAGTAGTTGTAGTAGTATTCACAGATTATGTGACAAATGACTACTTTGACTAAGTAAGTTGGACTAACTAACTTTGACTACTAAGTTGGAAATTTGTTAGTCTTTGAATATCTGTGCATTATATGACAGATTACTACTTTGACTGAAAAGTCGAAGTTGGGAATTTGCTAGTCATTGAATATCTGTGCATATGATGATATGATGAGTACTACTTTAACTGAAAGTTGAAGTTGGCAATTTGAATATGCATATAATGATGAGTACTACAGAGTGGGATGATGGTACTTTTACTTGCATTTTGTTTGAGACTATAATGTTAACCTAATGTTAACAATGGTATGAACCTGTTTCTGTTTGAAAGTATAATGATAGCTCTGAAAAGAGCTGTTTTTGTTTCAGTCTTCAATTGTAGCCCTGAAAGGGCTGTTTGTTTATTAATCCATGCAATGGTATGGACTAATGCTCCTCATCATCATCAGAAACAATAATGATGGTGTCGTAATCAGAATCAGCCCTGAAGAGGCTGTTTTTTTATTAATCCATGCAATGGTATGGACTAATGCTCCTCATCATCATCAGAAACAATAATGATGGTGTCGTAATCAGAATCATCTGAATCAGATGATATATTAATGATGTCGTCTTCATTATCATCTGAATCAGATGATATACTAATGACATCGTCCGCATAATCATCTAGATTGTCTAACTCGTCAACAGCCATCTCAAACTCTGCATCTTCCTCTTGCATACCTTGTTTTATACGTTCTGGGAAATCATCAGGAAGATCATAGATGCGTTGCAGAAATTGAGCGAAGGTTGTACTGAAATGATCGGACGTTGAATCTATTTCATGTACCTGGATGGGTCCTGTACTCGACATTGTGGAAGAATGATGTAAAACTGGGATTGATGCTATATTCATATTGGAAAAAATAAAATGGAGGGGTGAAGTGTAAATGTAGAACAATTCAGAAAATACTAAGAATGATGATTATTATGAGAAAATCTGAGTGATAATTATGAAAAGAAGCTAATAAGGGAGAGAAAGGAAGACACTGCTCCAACCTCGCAGTGCCTCGTGTACACCAACTAAAAAGTGTGTACTCCGTGGAAGGAAAGGAAAGGAAAGGATGGAAGAAACGAGGAAACGATTACATATCGTCATCAATCAGGATGGGGGATGATGGAGGACTATCTGCGATGAGGATTGGGGATGGTTGAGGTCTATCCTCGAATTCCTCGGACTCATCGTCAGCGTCATCATCGTCATCACTCTCAGCATCGTCATCATCGATGTCTCCGGGTAGTGGGTCATCCCAATCGGGATCCCACCATCCGTCAGGATCCGGATAACCTCCATCCGGAAGGCGTCCTTCATCGCTGCCGGTAACATGCTGCACCTGCATTCGAATATCATGATTCATGTGTCCATACCCAATGCCGTGCGGTGCCGTCGTGGAGTAAACAATACGTACTTGGATGGAGGCGTGATAAGGTGGCTGATCCTCTGGGATACTAAATGATTCAGTAGTTGAATCAGGTTCCATGTTGGAGGTGGCTGATCAACTGAATATTCCAACAGATAATTCCTACTTTTATACTTTTGAAAGGGAGTGGAGGAGGAGTGGGGAGGAGAGAAGATTAAATGGGATTGAATTACAAAATGACATGAGATATATTCAATGAAAGAGATAATTGAATGGATAAGATACAATATGAATTATATGAAATTATACTTATTGATTTCATTGTGAAACATGTCTTTTAAAACTAATATGGGAGAGGAAGGAAGACACTGCCCCAACCTCGCAGTGCCTCGTGTACACCAACCAAAAGTGTGTACTCCGTGGAAGTCCAAAACTGCTTGCACTCCCGCGAGACGGTTAATCTCTTTTCGGCGCCCCGGGCGGATGATGGTGGGCAAGCAGTGGGGCAGGCGGGTGAGGTGGTGTCGGGAAACGCGCGCGGTATGCATTCACTATGTTCCCTAACCTAACCTAACGTTTCTTCAACCTAACCTAACCTAACGTTTCTCCAGAACTAACCTAACCTACCCTAATCTGACCTTTTTTTTTTCTTTTTTTTTTTGGTAGGGGGAGAAAGACCTTCGAATACCCGCGGAGCTGACTCCGCGTGCAAATAGTGTGACCCCTAAAACTCCCCCTTCTTCGCCACGTTTGGCTAGTTCGGTATCATCCAATAAGGATATTCTTCGAACTAGCCTGCCAGTTTGTATTCACGTCGATCAGCTTTTCACATCCCTGTTGATATGCAAATATACAGAACCCAGTGATCGATTATATCAACAAGATTCATGTCGCGACGTCATACGGGCCCTGCGCGTGCCTGTTGATATCTCTCCTCTTCTTCCTTTGCTTTCAAGATATTTTCAATGGAACGGTGTATTGCCTCCCATTTTTGTCGGACAGGTTCGTTGTACCGTCCATCTCTCGCAGTGTTGAACCGTGTGTTCCGGTGTGTCTTCATCGCCACAGTAGATGCACCTTTCGTCTGTGGCTTTGCCGATTCTCCGGGTGTACGTTCTAAAAGTCCCGTGCCCACTGAGAAATTGGCTCAGAAAGTAGTCGACTTTTCTGTGTGGACAGTTTAGTCACGAGTGCAGGTCAGGGATCAAAGTCTTCGTCCACTGCGTGGTGGTTGTGTGGGCGTTCCACCTGCGTTGCCATTCCTCCACAGTGCGTTGGCGTGCGACCACGGCAAATCCCGCTTCCCCTAGCCTTTCGAAAACGGCTACTCGTTCTTTTATTAGCAAGTCGATTGGTATTGTACCCGTGATAATGCACAAACCTTCCGTGGCGGCGGTTCTGTATGCACTCGCAACACGTAGCAACATACGTCTCTGCAACTTCATTAGCGTGCTTCGATGCCGCTCGATGCGCAGTACTTCGTGCCATACCGGAGCGCCGTAAACCACCACTGACTGCGCCACGCCGCTGAGGACGGCTCTCTTCTGACTTCTCATTCCTCTCACATTAGGCATTTTTGTAAGTGCTATCACCTGCCTTTCTGCTTTGGATATTGCCTGCTTAACGTGTTCCCCGAAAAGCAGCTCATCGTCTATCCAAATACCGAGGTATGCTCCATAACGTCGGTCCCAGTACGGATCCCTGTGGTACTCCCTGTGTCATGAAGATGCTTCTGGTTCTAAGATCGAGTTCTCTCGCACTCAGACAGTTCTCTATGATATTTACGATGTAGTCGCTAACTCTCTTGCGTCTGAGCTCACCAACAATCAGATCCACGTTGCCGTATTGAAGGCATTCTTCACGTCCAGTAACACCAGCGCAGCCCACTTCTTTCGGTCGATTGTCGCCTCGCCGATTACGTGTTTTACCGCATCGATGATAGATCTTCCTTTTCTGAAGCCAAACTGAGTGTTACCTAGGATATGTTTTTCATCGATCTCTGCTTCTAGTCTGCTCTTAACAAGATGTTCGTATGCTTTCCCGATCGCGTCGAGAAGACATATCGTTCTATATTTCATAGTGGATGCTTCGTACAAATCGCCCTTCGGGATGAGAGCCACTTTGGCTTTCCTCCATCGTATGGGAAAACTCTGTTTTGATAACAAGTCATTCATTATCCGCAGCATTTTCTCAGGGCATATGTCAGCAAATATCTTCACAGTTTCCGGCATGACGTTGTCCGGACCTGGCGCTCTTCCTGTTTTCAACTTTCCTATGGCGGAACGAAGCTCTTCCAAGGAGAACGGATCGTCTATAACGACTTTACGTCCTCTATTCCAGTCATCATTCTTCATCGGAAAAAGTCCTTCGATGATTTTGGCCCCCTCTTCTGCTTCTAAGTTATATGGGGCTAGTGGGTGCTTTAGCGACCTACTGACTATTTTGTATCCTTGACCAAAGACGTCGTTGTCAAGCTCTTGGCAAATTTCCGCCCACTTTTCTGCCTTAGTTTTCCGAATTGCTTTCCTATACTCCGTCTTGGCATTCTTCCATTCTGTTACCTTGGCAAGTAACACTCTGCATTCATATTTCCCCTTCTTCGAGTTCTTGTGAGCGCTTGTTACGTTATCCGTAAAAGGTGCCTATTTATTGTCGCTTGCACACGTACTAATAGCTCATATCAAGATCATAAACAATCATCCGATAGCTGCTGCCATAATTATACGAACAGTCATTTGGGGACGAGGAAATGAGGAAATGACACATGGGATTTCATCCTCTTCCTTGATGGAGCAGCGTAATAGTGCCGGATTACAGCCGGCCCTTTGGAATCGAGGCTAAGTACCGCATAGCGGCATTAGGGACTTTCCTTTTAAGTGAAAATGTAATATGTATATTATTTTTTTTATAATAATACTTTCACATTTCACTCCGGAGA